ATATGTGGGAATAATTTAATCTCAATTCAAGCTCAGATTGAGGTCTTGCAACCATAAATATGCACAGAATATTAATACAAAAACAATTTTTTTGTATTACTTGTTTTATTTTGTTATATTTAGTAAAGAGGAAAACTGTTATAGAGTTTAGAGTTCGGATGTTTATCTAAAAGTTGTGAATTACTTTATATAACTTTTTGTACTTTGTCTAATAAACTATGGAAAACCTATACGTAGTTACTTGTGATAGCTTGTGATTATTTATCTTCAATAAAGCATTTAAGTTGCTTTAATAAGCATAAAAATAGTATTTAATATTAATATCAAATATTATTACTTTAATATTTTTTTATATATTATATGAATTTATATATCCTATTATAAAGCGGTTTTTCAAACAGTAGTGAACAACAACAACAAAAATTCATTTTTTATTATTTCAATTAATTGAATTTTTGCTTAATCATACAACTGTATCGAGTATGGCCAATCATCAGTGATCTTGAAAATATTTTTTGTATTTAATTATTAGTAAATAATTTTTTTGTGACTAAAAGTATTATAGATTGAACTTGTGCTCTGCCAAATTTAAAGCTCAAAGTCAGCGCACCTTAACCAACTGACCCAAAGCCTTACTTGACTTTTATGTTCGCATATTTTTCTGGAGTTTTGTTACTTTGCTGTAAAAGTTTTGTTAACAAATTCATGAAATTACTTAATTGAATTATTTAATTAATTAATTATATTTTTAATTTTAATTGTTAAATTTCAATACTATCCTATTATTAAATTTCTATATTGTAGTATTTAATTGAATGTGACTGATTACATTCATTGAGTATTTAAACAAAAATATGTTTCAAAATTTTATATCGATTTTAGGTAAATTCTATAAATTAATAAATTTTTTTATTATTATAACAAAACTTAAATATTTTCATGAAATTTATTTAAATTGTTACAAATTCTTGATAGAAATGTTCTCTCATTCAGATGTCAAGAGAAAAAATTAAAGTTTTATTATTAAATAAAGAACTGTTAATTGTATTAACTTTTTTGAAAAAGTAATTTTATTTTTATCTCAAAAGTTTTTTGTTACTTTAGTTAAAATAGTTTTGAAAATGTTGATGTGTAATTACACAAGGTTTTCCCTCTACAGTAAAAAAAAGTTTATAGTTTTAATGAAACTTTTAAAAGTGGCACTTTTAACAATATTTTTGTGCTTGTATATTCCATTCAAACAGATAGGTATAGATAAGTAGATATAAATATTTATTCACTATTTTATTTAAATTTAAACAAAGTTTATTGTTCAGACTTCTAAGTGTAGCAGATACTATTTATATTTAGTAAAAATTATTAAATGTTTTTTTTTCTTTAAATAAATTTAAATGCATCAAAGAAGCTTTGTATGTACATACATATGTTTTATGTATGATTCTACCATAGAATTATGAGAAAAACACAATATCGATACATGTTAAAATAGCACTCGATGCTTTTTATTTAATATATATTCTACTAATTATAATTAATTATAATTAATGCAAATTAAATTATTCATATTTATTTACATAATTATATTTAAATATTCATTTAATCGAATATCCAAGAATTGTTTAAAGTATTTGAGTAGAGTAGAGTTCAAATCGAAATATAATTATAGGTAAATTAGCAATATCTTTCAAATGAGATCAGATTCTTTCAGATCACAACAAATATATGATTTAATGCACATAAGTATGGCGGAATACCATAAAGTTAATAATTGATTAGTAGAAGAACTGCCTAACCAATGATATCAATGTATTTGGTATCAACTAGCGATAGCAAGCCACTGATTGAGTTTTCTGGAAATGGCTACTGGATACAGCTTAGAATGACTTATGTCTGTAATGCAATGCCATAAGTCCCTTTATTTAAGTTGAGATGCTAAAGTCTGGTAGTTATGAAACCACCATTTTCTTGTCGCGGCAAAATCAATCAGACTTCTTTTATCATTTGTTTATATATGAAAGCTAAACTTTCCTACAATAGGACTAAAGAGACGTTATTTACGTAGGTTTGCGTATATGTCACCTACCACCATTTTGATGTTATGATAAGAACAACGTTCATATTCTTGTTCAAGCTGTTTATAGAAAGTTGTTGTTAGGGAATTCAGCAAGCTTTTTGTTGATTGGTGTAAAGCACCAAGTTTCTCAGCCTTCGACTTACAGTCAACCTGACTCCTAATTAGTGATTCGTTGCATTGCAGTTATATTAGTGACTTAATGATTATAATATTATGAAGTAATGTGTTCTTTAAAAGCATCTCTGTTCCAACCTTCATTACCTTCTTTGTAAAGAGTTCCCACAAGTCAGGAGCTTATATTTCTTATAGCCCTTATTTGTGTAGTCAACTCTATGCGGTATCTTTATCACAAGGTTTCCTCTTTGTTTTCATTGGAGCCATGTTTTATATAGTGGATTCCAAGCGCGACGCTAATTCATATATCCATTAGTAAGATTTTGTTACACACACTAGTTCACTAAGCACGGATACTTGAAGCTATTCAAAGAAGCTATGAGTGGAGGTTGTGTATTAATTTGAAGAAAACAATAACAAATATTGCGCTGATGTTTACCAAGTTAAATGCGATCAGATACTTCATTTTGTAGGTTCAGTTCCCCTCTTCTTCCTACATTGACTTTATATGTATTGTTAATAAAAAATATATCAAATACAATATATATATTTTAAAGAAACTTATATTTCGGAAATAAACCCTAAACAGTCAAATTAACTATCATTGGTTGGTAGACTGTCTGTTGCGGAATATTTAACCAGAGTAATTTTTTTTCACTTCACAGATCACTGTAAAATGAATAATTAAAAAAATTAACGAAGATTATTTTATTAATATTAGGTGAGTGCTATCAATTAATATATAACAATAAATATGTTTAATGATAATCATATTTACTATACATAAAATTTGTTTTGTGCAGAGAGGAAGTTTAAAAATGCTTAATACATCGCCAGTATGTCATCACGAGAGTTGTGTGGCCGATTTACACACACTAAAACCTATCCCACTCGTTTACCAGAGGGGGTATGCCCGCCTAAGTAGATAAGCATAATATACTATTATCTATTAAAAATTTGATTATAAACTCCAAAACACAATACTATACAATATTATACTATACAATATTAAAGAAGAGAACGTAAATCTTTTGTGATCTTACTAATTATGCTAAGATAACAACTGTGTATATAATTTTGATTATTAAAAAAAGATTTATTAAATTGAATTTTAATGTCCGTTTTAATGAAAGAAACTAAATTCTTAATATAAACTATTGTTTTCATTAGAGCAGTATTTCGGAAATTTTATTTTTTTATTAATTAATTGAATTTTTCGCTGACTATACAGCTGCTTCAAGTCACCAAATACCCATCATCAGTGGTCTTGGAATTATTTCTTATATTTAATTTCTCGTAAATAATTTTTTGAGACTGCAAATACCAAGGGTTGAACTTTATATATTTCAAAAATATATTTATAATATTTATATATATCAGTATTATTTTAGTTTAGCAATAGTAATGTAACAATATAATTTTAAAATTATGTTGTATACTAAAATTTTATTATTTAAATCAAAAACAC